TTTTCTTCTTTTCTTTTCGTTTTTCCTTTGCATATTCTTTTTTTTCTTCTTCTTCTTCTTTCTTTCTTTCTTTTTCTTTTTTCCTCTTTTTCTTTCTTGTCTTCCATTTTTCTTCTTTCTTTCTTTTCCTTTTTCTTCTTTTACTTTTGTGTGTGTTTTTCCTTTGTCGTTTTCCTTTTTCTCTTCATCTTTTCCTTTATTTTCTTCTTTTTTCTCTTTTTTCCTTTTTCCTCTTCTTTTCTCCTTTTTCGTCTTCATTTTCTTATTTCCTCTCCTTTTTCTTCTGCATGTTTTTTTCTTTCTTCTTTTTCTTCCTTTCTTTTCTTCTTCTCTCTTCTTAGTTTCCTTTCTTCTTTATAATCTTTTTCTTCTTTCGATTCTTGTTATTTTGCTCCTTATTTTCGTCTTCTTTCTTTCTTCTTTTTATTTTTTCGTCTTTTTCTTCTTCTTCTTTGTGCTGCGTCCTTTCAGGACGAGGGAGATAACACATCAAATAAATGTTGTTTGGAGCAGTTAAGAATATATATTTATATTACAAATTGGAAAAGGTTTTTGTGATACTTTTCATCCGTCGGACTTCATTTGACTGGGTTTTTCTGCGTTTTTGACAACGCATGCGCACGAACGAGAGACGCTAGCAGATTTAAAATTTAAAAATGTTTTTTTCAATCTAGCCAAATTCCATGTATGCCCTGTTTTTCAAAGAACACATTTTTATTTCAACTTATTGTTTTCAAATATCCATTTTTATTAATTCATTTCGTAAAGTATGAGGTTTTTAGTGGAATGTATCTTTTGAGAAAGGGCAAATTAAAATTAGACCGACGTAAAGTCGCTAAAAATCAAAGAAATGATTTTCTAAGGACAGCTTAGATGTGGTACAAGGCCGAAAGAATGGTGCACCCAGTGAGGATTGAATTCACTACTCAGTAATAGCTCTAGCGAGACGAGCTTGCTAATCAAAGAAAGGGGCAGCCTTAACTCGGCGACTGGAGGGTTGGGTTGTGTTGAGGAAATATGATATCAGTCAGCAGTACTGATCATAAACGTACAATAAATTAAACTAAAACTTCACAGACAGAGAGATATATAAGCACACTAACGCATAGACATATAGACAAATATACACTTTACCATCAGTGATAACCAAGCTATGAAAAAATAAAAAATGGAGAGGAGGCAATGAACAGACAAACATATCAAAGACTTTGTCCTGACACTTCTTTTTTTACATATCTGGAATTTTTTTTTTTAAATAAATGTTCATTTTATATAGAATTATTACAATTAATATTAAAATACCAAAATGTGTTTTTTTTTTAATTTCATGCCAGAGATTTTAAAAATTATATATTTTAGAGTAATCATTTCAGCATCAAAGATATACTAATAGTATATTTTGTTAAAGATTGTAATGAGCCCGACAAACATTGACCTAGAGTTGTTACTGATATATATATATATATATATATATATATATGCATGCATGTTCGTATGTATATATATGATTTGTAAAGTATATGTATATGATTTTTAAAGTATATATATATATATATATATATATATATATATATATATATATATATATATAAAGAGAAAGAACAGGCCGATTAAGAAACCACAGTTCTTAGCATTATATTATTATAACATTTTTATTATAATATTTTACATCACTACACAAAAAAAAAATGTGTTAAGTTATCAATCATCGCCCGATGAAGGAACATGAAAAGCGTGTAGCGATGTAAAATATGGTACCATTCTGACTATGAGACACAGGTTCAAATCTCACGATGGTCGATTTGTCAAGAAGGAGACTTTCTGTTAACGGAATGGAGTGGTCAATCCCAGCGTGCCTGAAAACCATACCACAGGTTGATCCAAGCCTTGTGAGTGAAATTGGGTAGACGGACCCCTTGGTGGCCGTCGATAGCTGTGCTAGCACAAAGTCGCAAGTCATCGTGATCGAGCGTTCTGGGATTGTTCAAATTGTTGATCACGTAACTAAGTTCTGCTCAGTATAGTTGCAGTATAAACCACGGGTGGGCTCTGTAGGTGTTGAATGAACACAAATTCGCCTGAGCAAGCGTCGGCAACAGGGATTGGCTATACGAATACGTGTGGCAAGCATATATATATATATATATATATATATATATATATATATATAGTCTTACCTGCTCTAAACAACTTTTTTATGTGTACATAAAATAAATTTTGTCAGGAGCAGTTAAAATTATATATATATATATATATATATATATATATATATATATACAGTTGACTCTCCCGTCGAATTGGACATATGAGAATTAAGCAGATCAGTTCCTAGGAAACCGACAGCCTGACAACAGCACATGAGATTTGATTATAGTGGTGAAGGTTTCGTGCAGAACCATCCACACTTTTTGAAGGGCCGAATACAGAGACCTGGTGCACTAAGTGCCACAAGGTCCCCAAACGACCCCCCGCAGGTTTTGAATTGAGAACTGTCCTTCTCCTCGACCAGTTGCCATCCAAGGCGATAGAACCCAGTCTGTCCTGCTATTTACCCATAGCTGGAGGGAGAAGAAGACGATTCACACCTTTCCCAAGGGTATTAGCACGTGAGTGAATGAAATGGATTCGACTGGAATTCGAACTCGGCTCACTCTGTCTCTGTCTCTGTCTCTCTCTCTCTCTCTATATATATATATATATATATATATATATATATATATATATACTTACCTACTCCAAACGATATTTATTTCATGTGTATATTTTGTAATAGTAGTGTTAGATGCAATAGTCAGTTCTTATTAATCCTTATCATGGCCTTTCGAACCGTAAATACACTGCAGTCAAAAATTAATAAAACTAGGATCAACAAGAATGGTCTATTTTCAGACGAGATCTTTCAAGAAATAAACAAGTAAGGAATTAAAAAAGATTCACCATTTTGATTGTCCCCGAAGAGGAGAGTTTTGATAAACGCAGTCTTTGGCATCTGGGCCAACTGAATGCCTTTCACGGAGAGAGAGAGAGAGAGAGAGAGAGGGGGAGAGAGAGAGAGAGAGCTTAATTAATTCAAGACGACATTCCGAATGCATTGAAATCGCTACCTGTTTTCTCGAACATGTTTCCCTTAATTTAGATTCACGTGGAAATCCTTCCCCGAGGTCATAATTATTCGTTACCATTGAATTCTGTCCCACCATAGACCGGTTCTTTTATGTAGACACCCCACAAGAACTGACCACTGAGGAGAAAGTAGTTTTGAAAGAAATGTAATAAAAGATACATAGATATATAGATATGAACAGACTGCGATAGATAGATAGATAGATAGATAGATAGATAGATAGATAGATAGATAGATATGAGCATATTGAGATCTCTCTCTCTCTCTCTCTCTCTCTATATATATATATATATATATATATATATATAAACATATAAAGACTGACATATATATGAGCATACTGTGATATCTATGTATCCGTATATATATATATATATATATATATATATATTACATATATATGTAATATATACATATATGAAAAGACTGAGATAGATCGATAGATAGGAACAAACTGTAATATATACATACATATATATATATATGTGTGTGTGTGCGCGCGCACACATATGATCGCAAAAGATTGAAACCAGGGTCACAAAATCATATTCCTACATCTGAATATGTTAGCTCTATCACTGATATTGGGGACTTTCCCATAAATACTGTGCATATAAAATAATGTGCATGTATGTATGTGTGTGTGTGTGTGTGTGTGTGCGTGAAAAACTGAAATAGATATGAATAAACAGTAAATAATAATGCAAACTGAGATTGCCGGAGGACACATATTTTCTATGAAATTTCTCGGACATTCAGGCCGGTAAATATTGTTAATACTGTTTATTATAAACAGAACATTTAATTAAATATTTCTATTCATGCAATAAACGTATAATCAGAAAATATATTAGCATACATACTTACATACACACACACACACACACACACATACACACACATATATATATATATATATATATATATATATATTGCAGCAAAAAAACAAGAAGTTACCTCAACATCGGAATAGACTATTTCAAACCGTCCTTTAACGGCTTTCGTCAGCCACTAAGTACTTGTCTTCGGAGCGCTTATTTATGTATTTTTCAAAGCCAGTCTCTGGTAGGCGCCTTGTTAATGAGAGTGGGTTTGTGTTAGCGATTAGTGGGGGCGTCAGTTATCTTATCCCGGGGTTAGCGGTCTGGGTTTGGAGTTTATTTATGGCTAGGATTTTTGTTAGTTTATTATCAGTTCCTATTATATGGTGTTTCATATAAACGTCCCGGCTTGTGTTTTTCTGGGATTCGCAATAAATAGTTTTTGTACTGTAAATCGATGCGGGATTTGAACTTAAGTCCATTAGGGTTTATCTAAATTAGTTGAGTTATAGATTTATAGATTGTGGCTAATACTAGAACACCCAATGGAATAACAACGGATCGATTACCTGTACTATAATCTTCTACCTTGATGGGCTCTTAAACCTTGTATAGAGTGAACATTAGTATATATATGAAAAATGTAGTGGTCGCACTATACATAAATAGGCTTATACACAAATATATACTTTGTATACAACAGTTTTCTCAGATCACTGATGAAAAGCGTTAGATCTTAATGAAAAAGATCCTTAGTCAATCACTACAGACTGGCGCTACATAATCAGTAGCAATATTTACTAAATAACAAAGCTCCGACACTTTCTAAAAATATTTTCTTGGCAATTTGTTCGGATGAGCTTTCCATTTTGGTAGTTAGTATTTAGGAATTGAAGCATACCACTAGAAATGAAAAATAACGATCCCGACAGGAATTAGAACTCGGTTCTCCGATTTCCAATTCCGAGGCATTATCGATTATACCACACGCACCTCCAGATTACTTCTGGTCCGGTGGTTCTGCTAAGTATTTAGAGATAAAATCCGAAGAAAAAATCTGCAATGTTATTGTGCTTACCTGGCATCTCAGCTTCAATCATTTCGATCACAGTCTCACTGTCGTAATGTAGCTTCCCTCTGCCTTTTCTATAAATATTTTCATGGTAATTGTTCTGATGAGTTCTCCTCTATGAAACCTAGACTTTATGAATTTAAGCGCAGTACTAGATTGGCCACACGTCTCGTCATTTTACATTTGAAATGGCTAGACGTAACCGCAAGTTCTATGTTAAAAGTTTCTTCTATCGGACTACTCCGACATGGTTATCTCTTCAGGCTTCTTGCTTTCGAGTCATATTTCATCTAAAAGAATTTAAATGCAATGTCAGTCCTCATCTACTGTCTTGGTAATACTT